GATAGCGGTTGAGTAGGTTACTCTCTGTGGATTCCGGACCCCGGGCGTAATACTCGGGTTATATTTGCAACGTCCGCAGAGTTCTTTTCTAGAAGGCATAGTTGGGCGTGATCAATTACATACTCTATTCAATAAGAATTCAACATTATATAAATTTTAAAATACATAAATATACAATTAATTATTTTTAAAATAGTCTCAACAAATACTACTATTGCGATGAAAATTGCATTATACCCTAAATAATATCTCAATCATATCAAATGAAACTAGAAAAAGTTGCAATAATTTTACGGTCAATTTGATTAGTATTTAGAGTGATCGAGATATTAGTTTATTTATAAAGTAAAATATTTTACAATACAAATACAAATTTTCTTGTTAAAATTCTTAATAATTAAAAATCACAATTATTATTTCAAAGAACCAAAAAATACCTTTTCATCACCTATTTGGGAATAATATTAATATTTTTTGTTATTTAAATTTTGATTAGTACAAGAAGAAAAAAAATAATACATTAACACACTGAAAATACTAAAAGAATAAAACTATATATCATTCAATTTAAAAAATGAGAAAAATACATGACGACTTATTTTTCAACTGACTTTTTAATTACTATTTAATAAAAATTAATTTAAGGCTTAGTGATGCAAAAAAAAAATTTTAAAAAAAGGCCCTATGTAGAAATAATTTAAATTCTACTTGAATTATTATCTAATCACTGTATAATAAAGCATTAAACTCGACAAGTGTTTCAAAGTGATTGGTGTAGTAATACGATTTCATAAAAATTAAAATGCACATAATGCAAAAGATAAATAACAATACATGTAATCGTGGTTCTATACGTCATTAAACAAAAGCTTATTCTCTTTCTTCTTTCCCTAAAGGCGTAGTAAGTGTGTAATTAACAATAGACCAAGAAATATTAAAAGAATAAAAACAAGAAGAAGAAAACAAAGGCAACAATTGGGCCCGTGCATCGCACGGGTACATCATCTAGTATCCTAATAAATGACTTTGTGCGATTGCGGTCGCTGTCATGGTAATGCAAACTGGAATACAAATAAATATGAACAGTAAGGTTAAGGGTTTTTGCTTTATTCAAAATATAATATCTTTTTCCAATTGTTAAAGGATTAGAAAATTAACGGAAATTTACTTTCAACAAGCATATCTTGACAAAGATCATAGTCCAATATGAAGTACATTTCAATTTAAATTATCTTTTAAAACCATAAAATGCTAATATAATTTTACATTCAAAGTTTTGATCTACGGACCAGGCCGGAATAGGGTTATATACATTCTCATTATGAGAAGGGGTCATTCAGGCCTATCTAAATAGATACTATGTTTACATATGGATTCCTACATCATTACATTCTATTTAGGATTAGGAATACGCGTAATCGGACCTGCTTTTTACATATCTCTATTGGGATCCTATTCACCTCTTTGAGTGAATCAAGAAATAGGTTTGATTGTCCATCTTTTTAATATATATCAGGCATTGCATTCTCCGGATAATTTAAATCGAAGCAATTGAATATCCAACTCGGGCCTATATGACATGACCGATCAATAAATTTGTCATATATTCCATACATCACACTAGTGATAAAAGTGAGGCATGTGATGTATAGATAGGCATACGTCATAGGATTTAACTCGGTCACAAATAAATGCATAAAATGACAAAATAGTCCCTTATGTATCTTCTGAGCAGTTTTACTCCTTTATATTTGCCAAAAATTATAACTTTTGGTCTCTTCAAATGTTTAACGAACTCAGTCTATTAGATTTAAGGAGAATTGTGTGAGAGAGAAAAAAGCTAATGGAACTCACATTTGAAGGTGCAATTTTTATAATTTTTTCTATTTTTAAGTGCAATTTTCGGTATTATTTTAAATATATTTTCGGTGTCTGGTGTGATTTGGTGCTACAATTAGTAATTTGATGAGACTTTCCTCATGTTTCTGCAATTTTTTTTCCTCGCAATTCTTGTTAAATCTAAAAGGCAGAGTTTATTAAACATTTAACGGAGAACTTAAAGGACCAAAAACTCCTCAGAGGATATTTAAGAGACTATTTTGAGCATATCCCCAAACTTAAGGACCATTTTTGTCATTTTCAAACACACAAAAAAAGCATAATATTGCGACTTTTCTTTCTTCAGATGGGGTTTGTTTGGAGAACCTAATTGGAAAACCCCAATTCTGACCGATCTGCGAAAAAGGGTCCTCAAATTTCATCTGTAAGACCAATATCTTATACTTTTTCATTATACTGATAGTTTTAGATCTGAATTATATTTATTCTGTTTAGTATTTTTGAGTTTTTGTTTGAATAAATATGGATGGAAACAAAGATGAAGCTAAAAAATGCTTGAAAATAGCAGAAGATTCGATCCAATGTGGGAATCGAGAACGTGCCTTAAAATTCTTGAATAAAGCCCGTCGTTTAGACCCTTCAATTGAAATTGATCATCTTTTATCCCAAACTGATGCATCCCAATCTGAAAACCCTAGTTCTAATGTACCGACACCTGATTTTTCATCTGAAAATGGGCCCCGCCGTAGGGTTTCGAGTAGTGGCGGGTCATCAGTGGCATATAGTGAGGAGCAAGTGACAATTGTGAAAGAAATTAAGAGGAAAAAGGATTACTATGAGATTCTTGGGTTGGAGAAAAGTAGTTGTAGTGTTGAGGATGTACGTAAGGCGTATAGGAAGTTGTCGTTGAAAGTCCATCCTGATAAGAATAAAGCACCTGGAGCTGAGGATGCGTTTAAGATGGTGTCTAAGGCGTTTCAATGTTTGAGCGACGAGGAGAGTCGAAGTAGGTATGATCTTGTTGGATCTGAGGAGCCTGTTTACGAAAGACGTGCTCATAGGCATGCTGGTGGTGCTAGAATGAATACATTTAACGGGTTCTATGATGACGGTAATGTTGACGCGGAAGAGATTTTCAGGAATTTCTTCTTTGGTGGAATGCGTCCAGCAACGACTACTACCCATTTTAGCTTTGGCCCTAGAGTGGATGTGAGATATCAAGGACCGACTGGGTGGCTGAGGACTTTGATTCAATTGTTGCCTGTGATATTGATTTTGTTGTTGAACTTTCTGCCTTCTTCGGACCCGGTTTATTCCTTTTCGAAGTCTTATCCCTATGATCATAGGTTAACTACACAAAGAGGTGTGAATTACTATGTGAAGACTGGGAAATTTGAGCAGGAGTATCCTATTAATAGCCCAAAGCATGTGGCGCTTGAAGAAAAAGTTGAGAATGATTATTTCTCGATCCTTTCTCACAATTGTAGGCTTGAATTGCAGCAACTTCATTGGGGTTATCGAAGAGAAACTCCAAACTGTGACTCTCTGAAGCAGTTCCAAGCAGCGGCCTGATTGATTGGTGCAAGGTCCAGTTTTCTCCTTGTAATACCTTAAATTTTAGACTTTCTAGTTGTAACTACTTGTATTCATTTTGTTCTCTGTACTGAATTTTGAACTTGCCCATCTGTGTTTATGTGAGGATGTTTGTGTAGCTACTTTTAGAACAAGTATGCTCACATTTTGTCTTGATTCCATTGACGGTGATGTAAAGTCGAGAATAACTAAAGTTTTAGTGGAATATATCTTCTTGTTGTTGGTTGTTTAAGAAAAAAAGGCATACTAATATTTAAGTACAGAAGGATAACTGAGTGGTCACATTATCCACTTGATATTTTGGTTCATGATTCAGCTTCTTACACTGGATAATATTCAACCAGATGTTTTCCAGGTCAATCTTCAAAGTTGCGCCAATTATCTTTTGTCACATTATAGTAACTGAACTATGTGTGAATTTGCTCAAAAAACATAAATGATCGGAAGGTTAGATTTTTCGCATTCCAGTTATATGACATGCCAATCAGTTTTATTATCCAATTCTGTGTGGAGCGCAGTTGGATGTATCATGTATATTAATTCCAGTTCCCTAACTTGATTTCTTGTATTAAGTTATGAGATTTTACCTTCAAAAGGGAGATCTATAAATGATGATTTAAGGGATGCATCAACTTTTGTATCAAAGAGAAGAAAATTGTAATGCTTGAGTATGATGGATTCAGATTAAAACACTGTGGGCTTGAGTCGAGGAAGTGAGTTTTGAAATGTACATCTAATTCTATCTATACTTATTTTTTGGCACACATATATATAAATATGATTAGACCTGAAGCATTGGGATCTACGGAACCAACGAACCCATTGTTGGATCGTGCTTGAGGGTTGTCTCTGACTTTTCTCCATCTCCTGCAGGTTCATCGCGTTCAGAGTTATGTTGATATGGTTGACAATTTTAAGGCCAAGAAACTTAACCTTCTTAGCAATTATAATGGTACTTAAATGGTGAGTACCAAATGGGAGATGTTTGATTCAGGAGTTGGAAGCCTCAATGCACCAAATAGATTACAGCAATTCACAATAATACTCAGGAGTTGGAACTGTTTGATTCTGAATCATAGTTCTTCGTTTTTACTGAATCGAATTGACACCCCTTTGTCGGGAAATTACAGTATCTAGCTACGTAATTTTTTTCTTTTATGTATAAATACTACTATGTTGAATTCCTTTTTCGTGTGGTTAATTGTTTATATTTTGACTCTCCTTACTGAAAATCCTGATTCTGCTATTGCAGTGATCAATTGTCTTTTTTTCTTTTTAATACTGTTATGTACACATTAAGAACATACTTAGTAACTACCATATTGTCATTTAATAAGGTAATCGAAGGAAGTTTATCGTCCCCTCTTGTGAGAGGTGGCTTCATGATTTGAACTTAATAGGTTCGAGTTCAAAACTTTAGCACAATTCATCTGATTTATTGTGTTCAAAATTAATAATTGTACTTATTTGGTGGATCTTTTACACACATAGAGTCCAAACTATAACTACTAAATTCGAATGAGCTAAAGTCTCTTAGTAGCTGCTTACCAATATAATCACTTTTCTACTGTTAAAAACATCGTAATGCATCAATTTTCTGAAATACTAGAATTTTTGAATTTTAAACTATGTTAAGTTACCAGTTATTACTAGGTCAGGCAAATTAATGTAGCTTGGTTTTTCCCAAAAAAAAAAGGTAGGGTAACAAGCATTTAATTTTGATGTTTATTCCTATTTCCTATATCTCATTAATTAATCTTAATAGTTACCTTTGTGATTCTTCTGCTCACATTTAAACTTAAACTAACTTCTCGATCTCGAAACTCTAATGCAAATCGGGAAAAAAAAGCTTTGAAGATTTTTTAATACAAAAATCAAGATAATACTTAAACAAACACGTTAACTTGAAAAAAAAAAAGTTTTACAAAATTTTGAAGAACCTGTTACCAAACAAACTCTTTAACTGAAATTTATTATCACAAGAACATTCACTTTGACATGATCCTATACATCATTAGCCCGATATTAGCCATTCTCTAATTATCTTACCAGAACTGACCTAATTTTTTTAAGGCACTAGAAAAGGCTAAAACAACAATGATATTATCGAAGAAAAAAACAATGTTTTCATGACATCAAGTCACCAACTGTGATTCCTAAGCTATTTTTAGAGATTATATGCAGTTTATTCGCACATGATAGTTAATTGGTGTAGAAGAACGAAACAAACTGAGAGGCGGGGCAGAAAAAAGAGTTTGCGTTAGGGGTGTTTATGGGCGGATAATTACGCTTAACGGTTTGACTTATCGGTTATCGGAATATAAATGTAATCCGCAATGTTTTAAAAGGAGGGGGCGTGAGGCGAGGCGTTTTACCTCTAACGAGGCGAGGCGTAAGCCCTGAGACATGGGGCGTAAGTCCCACGGATCTTTAAATTTTACTAATTTCAAGAATTTTAAGATAGTATAAAATAAAAAATAATTATAAAAATTACATTAAAATCACAAAATTATAACAAATAATCTATTTAAAATATTTATAAATTATAATTCAACTATGAATAATAAGAAAAGTATGACAAATATCGTAATATGCAAATTAGATGCAACGTCGTTACAACTCAAACATCAAAAGTAATGTATTTGATACGAAATCTTATATGTATCTCTTGAGGAGTAATGAATATTGAAAGAATTTCGATATTATAATTTGATATTTTTCTTAAAATACTCCTTTTATTTAATATGCTTTCTATTTGAAAGAAAATTTATATAAAAACATAATTCACAATTTAAATATGATTCTCTAGCATCATTTATTTTTAAGTTTCAACAAGTTAATAAAGTGACACATAATTCACCATACAATATCATAATAACTAATTATTTGTAAATAGTTACTAGCTAATACTGAGCTATTAGATTAATAAGTATTGTATCTCGTAAACATGAAAAAAATAATATTTAGAAAAATAATTATAAAAAAATTATGTACTACTATATAGTAAAGACATAACAAAAGTTGATAAATAAATAATTTTTAAGTGAAAGATTTATTAAAAATTAACTATCATAGCAGTCTTAGTGGAACGTGAAATGATTTTATTTTAATTATGACATAAAATACTCTCAACTAAATAATTTATGATTAAGAAAAAAATAATTTTGAATAGTCAATGATTTATTAAGAAAATTTGAGGATTTACAAGGTTAGTTACATACAATTGCATAAAGTTCTATTAGGCGAGCCCAGTACGCTGGGCATTGGGCGTGTTCGGGGCGTAGGCCCCGATGGCCGAGGCGTAAGTCTCACGGAACTAAGCCCCACACATAAGCCCAGGGGCGTTTTACGAGTGCTCTGCCCCGAGGCGAGTCCTAATTCTGCCTTTTAAAACAGAGGTAATCCGCTAGCCGTCCAATAAGATAACGGAGGAATTGGTATCACATTAACGATATTGGGTGGTTATCGAGCGGTTTACCGGCTAAACCAAATAGCAATTGTTTGAATAATCATTCAATCACTACCAAACAGTTTCAAATCAATACCAAATTTTTAATACCATCTAAGATCTAACGGTATTTCTGAATTGAAGAGTCTTTTTCCAAGTCCCAATCTAGTTCATATTCAAGACTACTCATACATGTATGAATCAATCAAACTTTCAGTAACATTCGTTATTCACAAGAAATCCATATTGTAAAACAAAAAATCGAGAAAATCGTACTTCAATTTATTAGATGCATGCAAAAAAGGACATAAAACCAGATAATCCAGCTATTACGGATAAAACCAGCGGACAATTCACCAAATTACTTTCAATAGTACTTTATATACATAGGGGTAAAAGTGTAAATATAAAAATTCTTAACGGGTTAACGATTTACTCGATAAGAAAATTGAGTAATCCGCCCCCAAACCGTTAAGCCGTTAATTATAAAATCTCAATCCATTCACCATCCATTACCCCGATAATCCGATACCAATAAGCCAATAAGCCATCGGTTCGGTTAAGTTAACGATTTCAGTTCGATTTTGAACAGCCCTAATTTGCGTCGATCAAACTTGACGGTTGGAAGGAGCAAAACGGAATTAAAAGTTAGCCAAAAAAGAAATAAGGCTATATATACCATGACGATCACCATCGATGAAGAAGAGTAATAACATAGCATTCCTAATAATAAATGATGATTCCTTTAGAAAAACAAACTTATTCAAGTTTTTTTACCAAGAAAATTTTCACTCTGACTGTCTGGATATTAAGAGCCAATTTGGACATAAGAAATTTTTTCTTTTTTACAAAAAAAAAAAAAGAAAATTCAAAATAATGTTTGGTTATGAAATTTTTATAATTTTTCAAATCCAACTTAAAATGCATTTTCGAATTTGAAAAACTGCTGAAAACCAGTTTTTCAATTGAAAAATTTTAAGTTTTACAAATTTATTCTATATTTTTGAAATTTATAAAAGGATCCCAATCAGTTATTAAACCTAGATAACACCTACAACTACCCACCATCTGATTGAGATTTGAGAGGCCTTGGACTATATTTTGACATCCATTGTTGAGATTTACGATTTGCACTTTTACCTGAAGGAGCCACTACAACTTCTATTAGAGATTGTTCGTACAGTTAAACAATCAACATGTTTGACTATGTTGTTTCAAGTAGGATAATTAAGTCGGCGTGGTTTTGATATTTTTTACAAATTGTGGGGTATAAATCTGTTTCATGATTTTAAAAAAAATACATCCAATTATGTTGCAAAAATTATAACCAAATTACCAAACACAACTTCATCTTCAAATCAAATTTTAGTCAAATTCCAAATTTAAAAAAGAAATCTTGGATTTTATGTCCAAACACCTACTAAATAAACAAATTAAAGACGTGTATTTTGTATATAATTTCTTGTCCCTTTTTCATAATAGAGAAAATTCTTACAAAAATATCTTAGTGTTTTATTTTAAACTTTCGGAAAATTTGATATAGAATTAAAAAAATTTATAATAAATCACAAAATCAATAAGCTAGCTACTTTCAGTTGAGGTGGAAAGTTCAAAATCCTAGTCACTCTTCCCCTCAGTAAAATCAATACTATATTTCAATTTGTTCACAGATCGGCAGCGGGTAAAGAAGAAAACACAAAATAAAGAAATGGAGAAAGAGGGAAAAAGCGATACCGATAATCGGAGTAAAATAACGGTGAACGTTAAGTTCAGCGGCCGATCGATACCGGTGGAAATCTCCGACGAGTCCACCGTCAAAGACCTCAAGTCTCTCCTTCAGCCTCGCACAGATGTTCTTCCTCGCGGCCAAAAACTCATATTCAAAGGTTACATTCTCTAGATACAACCCTATCAATTTTTTTTAAGCAATCAGTAAATTAACTGGGCACAAAATTTAAGAAAGATAGAAAGAGTTGTTGTTGTGGAAAGAATTTTGAAACTTGTGGTATAAAAATAAGCCAAGACATTTCTGTGGTTATAAAATGAGAAATTTAAAGTTGAAAATTATTTTTAACTAAGGAGGTATGATATTCTTTTTAGACAGACTAAAAAGGAAAGTATGCCATGCAAATTAGAATTGTAGATAATTATCATTTGAATTTGATAGTTGACATAATTTGTGTTTTTTTTTCTTGGATAGGGAAAGTATTGAAGGACCAAATGACATTGAAGTCCTCGGAGGTTGTAAATGGTGCCAAAATCATGCTTATGGCTTCCCAGGGCTTACATCAAGGGGTAATTCTTGATTTTCCTATACACTACTTTATGATTTGTCTAAGGGATGGATGTAGAGTTCAACTTATGGGTTCATCAGAACCCAATAGTTTTGACTCGGACCTTGTATATATTCACTAAATAAGTACAATTTCGAACTCAGTAAATTTGATGAGTTGTGGTAGGATCTTGAACTCGAACGCATAAACTTCAAATCTTGGATCCACCTATGATTTTTCTCCGTTCTTTTCCTTCAATTTTGCTAATAACTTTTTCTGATGGCTTACGAAATACGAACTATTAGGGACTGGGGCTATGTTGTGTTGGTACCCTTATAGTTTGTTTACATATGTTTATATCATTAGCAAATGTAGAGAACCTCTAGTATTAGAAATCCTTTGATTTGTCATAAAAGACAAATTATTGATTGCTAGAATGAAGTGGGTCTACGTGGAGCAGAATGGATATTGAATTATAGGAGACTGCAACTAGTTTGGGATTGAGGTGTAATTGATTGAGTGTTTATCATTTGATCTAATAGCATTCCGTTAGATAGGAATAGAATTGATAAATACTGATAACTCTCGGATAGAGTATTAGAATGGAAAGATCCATTAGATATTGATTCTAAGTCATCTCTGACAATTAATCGGCAACTCAAAGTGCTTTTCTTGATAAACCAACATTTATATATAGATGTCAGAGGATTTGTTTGGGAAGTAAGAAGCCCTTTGACATCTCTTCATTTGCAAATAATTCTCGATGTCAAAACACAAAGCTAGGGGACTAATCTTTGAATAGGAAAAAGAGTGGATCTGCCGGGTCCCGGATGGATTGGCTTATTCGAAAAAAGCCTTGTTGTTTGGAGGATCTATCTCGTGTCTGGTACTGATTGGTTGGTTCTACTCTGCAAGAAATCCGAATCATTCTCTTGGTTTTTTGTGGGCTTAAATAGACATGTGCTTGTGTTGCTGGATTTTTTTATAAACTTGAAAAAAAACAGAATTTTCTTGTAATTAATGCAAAAAATAAATTTAAAAACCCGTGTAATTCAACCTAGCTAGATCCTGAACTTTTTGTTTTCCATATCAGAAAGTGAATTAATCCACAAATGGCCGCTTTTAAATCTAATGTCTTGAGTTATTTACCTGTTTGTGTATATCGAACAGGATGGACCGATAAGAAAGGAAGCTTTCACATCGCCCTCAATGAGGATGCCTGAAGCTACGAGACCTAAAAGAGACGTTCCTCGGGTTCCCATTGTGAAGAGCCAACTTGAACGGTGGAAGGCTACTGGCGTCATTGCTCTATCAGAATGCAATCTGAAGGTAAGATGAGATGTAACTGGCTTTGCTTTGTCCAATGACTTTGAACATATTCTTGCCATGACCGATCTTTATTGTGATGGGACAAGAGATAAAATGGTTGTACTGGATGTCACTTTGATTCAATAGTACATATTGGAGTCAACCTAAAATTAGTAGTATTATTTTCTGTATTTTTCCCCCTTTTCTCCTTTCAATTCATTTCATCTAAATTATATCTAATATATTTTTCTGGCTTGACTAGGTAGATAGCCGGGCTATGCCCTTTTCTTTCGTAATCGTAATGCAAAACTGATCACTGGAATAGATATCCCTAGTATCCTTAGAAAGCTCTTAGGTGTGAGTCCACCAGTACTACAGTCTAACCTTCTATGAAACAAAAAACAAAATTCTACTTCCCTCCACTATGAATAAAAGTGCAAAAACAGATGGAGTAATATGTCGTGTAGATTTCATATATTTGCTTAGAATCGAGCAAAATGACTCTATGGCGTATTTTGTCCCAATTAAAAATTTTGGCTGATAGATGGATTGAATGTAATTCATTTGTTGGGAGCTTGGAGGATTAAAAGCATAATTTTCCTAACATTTGGAAACCAAAATTTTCTCTTTCCAGTTGGTATGTCTAACTCTTTCATCTGTTCAACTTATTTGTTGCAAACCCAAAACCAAAATAACCACCTAATATTTCTCAGTTGCAAGACAATAACTTTACTTTTTATCCCAAAAATGCGAGCCAACCAGAGAAGACCAAAAGAGGAAAATCAGGTGGTTCAAACTTATGAATAAATGTTGGATTAGTACCGGAGAGACTATTTGGCCCGTACTGCTCAGATGAAATCCCATTATATATCTCTCATGTGCGTACATATTGTGTATCAAGAATGAGAATATAACACCTGTCAAATTGTAAATGTTCTCTTAGCCCCAAGTAGTGGAACCAGGTTTGATTCTCTTTGTTCGGCCAAGATAATTTATCTGTTTTCCATTAATTTTATAATAGCATTACATATATCCTTTAACTACATTACCAGCTGATTTTATTTTTTATTTTATTTATTTATTTATTTTTCTTCTTGAAGATATTATTCTCATTACTCACTGGAACTTGATAGGCCCTACCTGGTGAAGTGTTGACTTGCGGACCTTCTGCAAGAGTTCTTGATCTCAGCCACAACTTGATACAACATATTCCAGCCGGGATTAATAGCTTGATTTCTCTTCAGGTATGTTGAGCTGCCTACTTTATATTTCTTTGAAATTGCTATTAATTTACTACTTTGTGCTAGAAATTTATTTTGGTATTCTTTCTGCTTCCCAGAAATTGATCCTCAATGGAAATGAAATTAAGGATAATTCCTTAAGCTGGGAAGGGCTAGCTTCTTTAAAAAGTCTTATGGTTCTTTCTTTGAACCAAAACAAGTAAGTCCCACCTGTTCCTCACAAAATTCCCTCCATTCAATGAATAACAATGAAAGCTGCTACCCCTTTGGATGAGACGACATAAAAGATAACTTTGACATCTACTTTTTGTTTTATTAACTTTTAATATCCTTGCTATACAATCGTTACTGACTTCCAATTCTCTTCTCACTTGATTATAAAGAGGCTACTTACTTACTAGTTACTACACCTTTCTCTAACCCTCTTATCAGCATTATGTACTTATGTTAGCCCGTCCGTTGCTTGATACGTGAAACCTTTCATCTCGCTGTTGTAAAAGTAGTGATAGTTTTCTTTGTCAATCTCTTGAATTAAAAACATATAAAAGAAGGGGGATGAGAAAATTATAAAATATCTACTTTAACATTAAAAAAAAGGAGAAAATTATAAAATCTCTTTGATCATTATTAAAAGAAGTATAAATTTTCCTTCCATGTAGTTCAAAACTAAAAAAGAAAAATTTGTTCACGTTTTGCTGTCGAATATACTTGTTTTCTTTGGTTTTTTATGAGTATTTATTGATAGCAAGTTACTTTTGGAGAACTTATGAAAACATATCTCGAGATTGTCAACGATCATGGTCAGTCAAATATTTAAGTAGGTTTGCTTTTACATATTAATTTATACTAAGTTTATTTGAGATGTGTCATATGTCATGCAATGATTGGCTGTTTTCTATTTCAATAATAAATTGTTTTCCAAAAAAAAAATATGGAGCTTTTTAATTGGGACTTAAGGTATTTTGTTTCAAGTGCCGAATCTGGTCATCAGACATCCCCTTAGGTATAGTAAAAAAGCATTCTACTGTGTGCTTGTCAAATATACATTCTAATGTGTAATATTCATCACTTTTACTTACTAGCAGTTCATGATCAGATGTATTGGAATGGAAGAGATGTTCTTAGTGGTAAACATTTTGAAGGTTTGCACAGATAACTGGAGGCAGTTAGACTATGAATATGGGTCCAAATACTGCTTTCTGGCAGAATTGTGTCAAGGCAAAATAAAATCATAAAATTGCATTATTTATTGACTGGGACTCAAATGTGGATGAGAATTGAATAAAGCTGTCAATTGTTGATACACAAAAGTCATGGTATTGATTTTGTTTGGTCAGTGATATTCAGATGCTGTTTCGTGTTACATTCTTGTTTTCAGATATGGCGTACTCTGTTTGCCAATCTCAACCATTTGACATGTGCATTATTTTCCGTTAAAGGACTCTTGTATCATTATGTCAACTAGTCTTTTCTTTTTGGAATGATTTATGCAGCATTGCAACACTGCCTCCTGAGATTGGGGCTTTGACCAGTTTGAGACAGCTTTATGTTGCACACAACAAGTTAACATGTCTCCCATCTGAAATAGGTCTGTTGACTGGCCTTGAGGTTTTGAAACTTAACAACAACAGGTAATATGAAGTGCTTGAAATTTTGATTTTTCATAAGTTTACTTATCATATTTCTAGTGTTGAGCTTTTTTTCTCAACCTTTTCCTGTGGACATGGATGTTTAGAGAATCAGTTTATCTTTTTGTAATCTTATATTTTTCTTAACAATGATAAGAGCCAACATTCTAGATTTGTAAGCTTAAACTTCCAATTGCAGGATACCCACTATTCCGGAAAGCATAGGGGGCTGTGCTTCTCTGATTGAGGTAGAAAAAGGTTTTTTTTCCCCTTACTCATTTGTCTATTTTTTGCATTAATTGGAATAATGAAATTCAAAATATCGGCTAAAACAAGATCCAGCATTTAATGGTTTATGTGATGTTACCTTATGTACATATAACCTGATTCATCATGGTGTAGGTTGATCTTTCATCTAATCTTTTGGTGGAGTTGCCAGAAACAATTGACAAACTAAAGGACTTAAAGGTATGTCTTTTTGTCTTTTCTTTTGAAGTGTGTTTTGAAGATTTCAGTTTATAGTTACTTTGGTGCAGTTTAGAAAATAACTTGCTAACGGCTGACAAATTATACTAGATGTGCTCAAGTACTTGTTGATAGAGTAACCACAAAGTAAGGGCAGCCCTAAGCTACCGCTATGCGCGGGATCCGGGAAAGGGCCGGAAGAGTAACCACAAAATATCAGTGAATAGTGTAACATACAAGGAGCTATCTAAAATAGATCATGACATGCATTGACATGTATATACTAGAAGATTCAACTATGCCATTTTAAACCAAACTGAGTGATCTACTGCCATAATCTGCTGTTTTTATTAGTAATACACTGTTTTCTTCACTAAGAGCACAACACGTGATGTGTGGTCACAAGTTTGAACCCTTCCACATACAAAAGTCTATTTAAGTGGGGAAGGGTAGAGAGACAGACTCATTATCCACGGAGTTTCGAACCGTGTCTTTTTGGCAAGACGTGTCGCGCACAAGTTTCTCCGATTTGTTAACAATTTCTCTAACATCTTTCATGTGATGGCCTCTTTTACCTGCACAGTATGCTTCTGCCCAGTTATTTGCGTGGTTCATGTTCTGATTACTGTGCAGGCACTTTATCTTAAAAACAACGGGCTCAAATCCCTCCCTAGCAGCATATTTAAACTGTGCACCGAACTCTCAATACTGGATCTCCATGGCACTGAAATAACCATGGATGTTCTCTGCCAGGTATTCAATTTTTTACTACATCATGTTGTGACCTATTTTGGTTTGCCTCTCACAATTTCCAAACCTCGCAGCTTGAAGGATGGGAGAATTTTGATGAGAGAAGACGCTCGAAACATCAGAAGCAATTGGAGTTCAGAGTGATCAGCTCAGCCAAATTTGATGAAGGAGCTGATAGAAGCTGATAGGCCAGACAAATTGCTCGGTTTGTATAGACCCTGACATGCATTTGCATAGTTATTCCTGGCAACCATACAATAGAATCATTTAGCATCTATTGAGATACTAAAAGGAATTTTGAAGCTAAAAACCAAAGTAGATCAAGAAAATGTAATGATTTCGATGCTTTATGATTAAGACTTGTTTACCCTGGAATCCGGATAACAATTGAATTTATATGGGGTTTTAAGGATCCGTGAACTAAAAGATACAAAAGGTTTGGATTGAGGAAAATAAAAGATAAAGACTCAACAATTGCTGCTAAAGTAAATAATCGCAGAATATAATATTGCTTAGAACAATTGTGCTTGATAGCGTACAAGAATTGAGAGAGATGGTACCGTAGTGTAATGGTTTCCCATTCCCTCTTTATGGGGTCTTCTCCCCTTTTATACATTCTGATTAAGGGTAAAAATAAGGTAGGTAAATTAATTACATCGTGGATCCCTGTAATTACGCCTTAATGGCCTGAAGTGGTTGAGAAAATCACGTTTGGGCGAGATATCCGGCGACGCTTGGTTATCCGTTACGAGTCCGGCTTCCGACCTTGTGTGTTTCTCCATCCGGTGGTGACTCATATCGAGCTCTGCAACGGTCTCGAAATGACTCGACCTCGGTTGTTGACGTGGCCGTCGTTCTACCTTGCATCCAGGTCGGGTTCGATGGCCCCGACTTGCCCCGGACCGGACCCAACCCGGTCGGGCTCAAGCAAAAAGGGTATCACCCAATACAGATAGTCCCCTCGTTTATTAGAGAGTAATGATAATAAACGATATGATCGGTGACGTGATGCCCGTGACGTATGGCCATACGCCAGCTGAAAAAGCCATCGAGTGCTCTGACCACGTCTGCTGCAGGCATTTAATGCTTCTCTTAATTATCTGTCGCTTCGTGTCTGTAACTTCGCGATTCGTGCCACCGCCTCATGGGAAAAGTATAAACGACCCTTCCAGGTTCAACATTCCTTATCTTTCTCAAATTTTGCGTTGGTTGTATTTTCTTTTCATCTCTTCGTAAAGCTTCAAGAAATGGCGAAAACTTCACAAAGTGTTCCTTCTAGACCAAGCTCGTCTGCGAGCCCCGCTAGATCTGATGAACCTGCGCCAGAACCCCCATTGAAAGCTTTTACACCGACTGGTTGCTTGGTATCTGCCGACTTCCAGGTTGAGAACCCATCATCGGTCCCGGGCCGCGGCGAACCGGCATCGGAGTATATCAGCCTAATCACTCCCGGTTGCCTAGACCGGGTGAGGGCTGAATGTAGATGGGAAGGGAAAGACCTGGTCGCCCCTTCCCGTGACGAGTCGATTATGACTCACGTTGAAGGGTATCTTAGTGTATATACATACCCCTTCACCTTAGGCCCCTTAGAACCCATTATAGTGGAGTTCTGCCGGCGGTACGAGGTGACCTTAGGTCAGGTCCACCCCTCGATGTGGCGGATCGTATATCTCTTTCGGTTTTTTGTCGAGAGAGTCGAGGGCGATTTTCCCTTTACCCTCGACCATCTTCTTCGATTATACAGCCCTCGAATATTTCGAGGGGGATTAATAAAACTGGCCCGCCGGGCTAGCAAACCCCCATTCTCCAGCATCGATGAAGACAAAGATCGAGGCTGGATGAGCAGGTTTGTCCGGATCAGGACGTCCGACCTGATTCCGGCTGATCGCATGCCATTTTCGGAGAGGTGGAACCTCAAACGTAAGTATTTTCTCACTGTTCATCTTTTAGAGTGTGTTTTCCTCAACTTCTCCCTTTTCTTGTGCAGCGGTGACCCAAACTCCAGCTGCCATCAAGGATCTGGCCGGCTGGGTAAACAAGATAGTGGCCCAGCGGCCATATTCGGAGCGAAACTGGAAGGAAATCTCCAAAGGTCGGTGGGAGGCGAAAAACCATGGTAAGCCTTCTTTTTGACCGGTAGCGCACCAAGTTAACACATTTTTTCTTGTATATCGGGAATGCATCATAACCCTCGTGTTTTGCAGGCTTGCCCAAGGACGCGGAGATGAGGTCTTCAATGCTATGCCCCCTTCCGGTTCCGGGAGAAAATAAAAGGCCCGGGGAGTCCGGTACGGACGAGCCCCAAAGGAAGATTAAGCGGACAAAAAGGGCCGCCCGCAAACTAAAAAGCCAAATCGTCTTGTCCTCCGAGGAGGAAGACGACAAAGAGGATGACGATGAGGAGCAGCCGGAGCTCGTCCGCCATCGATCCATTCGACCGGACCCCGAGCCGGTGGTCGATCCAGCTGAGGCTCCTCCCGAGGACGTGAGTGTTGAGGATGCTAGTGAACCCTCGGCCCCTGCGCGGGCGTCCCCGGGTACCGATCACCCGGTTACGTCCCCCCCGTCTTCCTCGACTTGGGGGCAGCTGCCGGACGACATCCCGATGATGGGAGGTAGCTTCGAGACCTTTTTTGATGGGGTACCCTCCGCCAACACTTTCGGGCTCGAAACCCCCCGGAAAGACCCTCAGGCCGAATCAAGTGGGACTTCGGCCGTCGACAAGTTTGTCGATAGGTTTCCATCTCCGAGCCTGGACCCGGACTGTAACAGGATAGTAACTTTTGCTATCCCCAAAGACGTCCGGGCTCTGGGGCCCCCGGTCGGGGTTGCAAGCTATCTTCATCACCTGATGACGGAGGAAGACCGGGCTGCAACCGAGGCTGTAGATTGGATATGCCTTTTCAACGAAGCCCAACAGGCGCAGCTCAAGGTACTTGCTTCTTCCTTTATTTCTAATATTTTTGCCTTGTGATTCAGTACTGACTCTTTAGACTTTTTCTTTGCAGGCATCGGTGCTATATCACTCGATGTTCCTCCGGATCAAGGACAAAATGGAGACGGAGCGAGACGGGCGCCGGGTCCTTGAAGAAAAGCTGCTAGAAAGCCGGACCGGATTGGACCTTTTGAACAAAGAGCACGCGTCCTGTGCTATCCGGCTGGAGGAAGCGAAGAAAGAGCTTGGTTATAAGCTAAGGGGGGTGCAAGCCGAGCTTAATCGGGTTAAGGCCGAGCTTGACGAGAGCAGAGCCGAACTTGATGAGAACAAAGCCGAACTGGAAGCCCGGGTGCAACAGTTGGAGTCGGAGAAGACTTCCCTTCGGAAAGAGGTTGCGGACTTGACGTTGGCCAATGAGGCTCGAGTCCTTGAAATTGAGCTATGGACCAATCGATTTCAGGAAGCTGAGGCTAAAGTTTCCCAAGCCGAGGAGACTGCCAACGATCTGGTGGCCCAATATAGGGCCGATGCTGATGCGGCCAACCAGCAGTCAAGAATGTTAGCCGAATATGCGAAGTGTCAGGCCCGGCTTGAAGTTCTTACCGAACTCCAACGTCGCGGTTTCGATCTTGCATCGGACGTCACCAAAGCCGCCGAAGCTGAGGACGCTTCGAGAAGGGCGACGTTCCCCGAAGAATTCGAGGATGGCTCTGATTGACTCCGGGAATAGGCTATGCTTTGTTTTGTTTTCCCCTCTTATGTAATTGCTCCGGTAGCGAGCTTTTTTATGAAACATTGCCCTTTGCCATCTATTGCTCCTTTTTCAATCTTGTTATTACTTTGCCTTTTATCTTTTTGGAACGATGGTAGTCCTTTATGTTTTTCGAAGTAGTCTCCGAGTGAATGTATTCGAACTCAGGTGAAGTTCGACCTTTGGGTTTCCTCAAGGCAGTCCCCGAGTGAGTTGATTCGAGCTCGGGTAAAAAATCAAACCTTACGTTTTTCAATATAGTCCTCGAACGAGTTTATTCGAGCCCGGGTGAAGTCTAACCCTTAGGTTTTTTCGAAGCAGTCCCCGAGTGAGTTTGGTCGAGCTCGGGTGTAGTTCAAACCTTAGTCCCCGAGTGAGTGTATTCGAACTCGGGCAAAATTCAAACCTTAGATTTTCACAAGATAGTCCCCGAGTGAGTGGAATCGAACTCGGGCAGAAATCCAACCTTAGGTTTTACAAGATAGTCCCCGAGTGAGTGGAATCGAACTCGGGCAGAATCCAAACCTCAGGGTTTCAGACAGTCCCGAGTGAGTGCATTTGAACTCGGGTAAGATTCAACCCTTAGGTCTTTCAAGGTAGTCCCCGAGTGAGTGTATTCGAACTCGGGGAAGATTCCAACCTTGGTTTTTACAAGTTAGTCCCGAGTGAGTGGATTCGAACTCGGGCACAATTTGACCTTTAGGTTTTGTATCGATTTTACGCCTTTTTCTTAAGGTCTTACAAATTCGAGTATACTTCGCCATT